TTCCCTCTGCAGCAAAAGAAACACACATCCCTGCAGAGACCACAGCAGCCCTCCTCCCCTCCATCTAGAGAAGCGAGTCCTGTGCTCCAGGATGACCCGCCCCAACTTCCAGATCCTTTCAGCCCAAGGTAAGAGGGTCCTTGGAGAAGATGACTGGAGGAATAGACAGCCTGGAATAGACAGCAAGGTTGAAGCATGGAAACTGTCCTTCCACTTTACTTCCATTTCATTCTACTTCTATTCTACTGAATTTCTGCCTACCAACTCTGAAGTCTTGTCCCAGGAGATCCCAAAATACGTGCCTGGACTTTGAAAGAGAGGGCTCATGAACTGGGGTCCTGTGTAGATTACTCTCCAAAGAACTGGAAATGTTGTTCTCTGGGTCTCCCACCCTCCCACCACTGAAAGCCCACCTTCTCTCTTTGTCTGCAGGCCTCCTCCTCCTCCTCCTCTGCAGTCTTTCCTATTTTGGTACCCGAGGTCCTTATGCAGAAGCAGGTGAGGTGGCTAGCTGTGAGAACCAAAGCCAAGGGCCAGGCAGGCCTCAGTGGACAGTGCGGAAGGGAGACCACTAGGCCTCTCTATCACTGTTTCCCTTGCCTCTCCAAAATATCCAACCTTGCTCCTGTTCTACCCCACAAGACTCCCATTGGTTCCGCTGTTTATCCCTCTTTCTCTCACTTTTTCCAGAGCCAGATGTGATCTCTGGAGCAGCCATTTTCTCCAACCATTCCCTGAACGGGACAGGTGTGATGCCTGTAAGGAAACGAGGCCTCTGAGTAGAAGGGGGAAAGCCTTTTTTCCCTTAGCTGGACAGAGAAATGGGGGCCCTTTAAGGAAGAGGGAGGTTGGGCTGGGTGGGAGGGAAGAACCATGGGGAGGCTTGTGGGATGCCACGGAGGCATAGCTGGCCCCCAGACTGTTGCTCCCTCTTTTGTGGCAGCTCTCTTGCCAGAGTTTCCAGTGTTCGGGAGAGAGATGCTACCAGGATGAGGCCCATGGCAACAATTCCCAGCTCTGCCACAACGCTTCCCACTGTGAGGTAAGGGTCCTGGAGGTGTCTAATTGGCGGGGGATGACAAGGGGTGCTCCTTCTTGAGCCCTAGCAGGGATTCCTGAAATGCCAGCCTTGCTCATGCTCTGTGGCTCTTGCAGCTCTACCGTCTCAACAGCACCAGCTACACAGCCCGATGCAGCAGTGATTGTGGAAGTGGCAATGCCTCGGAGATGTGCCTCCACAGCGGAAGGCTGGGCCTGGAGCTCTGCATTATGGAATGTTGCAACTGGCCCAACTGCCTGCAGCTCAATGCCACGGCATACGGTAAACTCCTCTTCAGGGGGGTTTTGCTCAGTAGTCCACCAGGGGCTTCTGTCTAGTAATTTGGCTTGATGGAACTGTTGGCAGGGGTTTTCTCGGTATGGCTTTCTCTGGCTCTCTCCCTGAGCTCTTTGGCACAGGAACTGCCTGCCCAGGAATTTCAGGGCTTGTGTTGAGGGCCACCCTGGGGAGCTGCCTGGGGGAGCGAGGGGTCAAAGTTCTCTTCTCTCTTCCAGGTGACAGGGCACCCACCACCACCCCAGTTCCCACCACTCCCACCACCACCACCACCACCCCTGCACCACCCCGCAATGTAAGTGTTCCGTGGGACGTCCTCTTCGCCAGCTCATTAGAGTCAGATCGGCTGCCACATGGGAACCTCTTCTGGTTTCTCAAACATTTGCAGTTCTCAAAGACCACCCTGCTGCAGGGCCGAGCTGAGCTTTCCTTCCTGCCTTTCTAGGGAAAGGTTTGCTCAAGTTTCACCTGCCATGGAGAAGGCTGCTTCAAAGGGCAGAAGTCCTCAACCAGCTGCATTGTGGGCCACGACTTCTGCGAGGTAGGGTGTCTGCCAGGACCTCTGAAAGCCAAGCGTTGCTCTGTCTCCTGCCACTTTCTAAGTGGGAAGGTCCAGGGAAGGTCACTTTCTCTTGCCCCCACCCCCAAAAGGTCGATGGCAGAAGAATGTCTCTGGCTAATACCCTCCAAGGCTGCTGCTGCTCCTTAGATACACTAACTAACGGGCTTTTTGTTGATGGTTGTCTTGGAATTTCCCGCTTAATTAGACTTCTAACCACCACAGACTTCTAGCATGTATGATTTAGTTGTTAAATTAGCGGATTTCTTAGCAGCTGAGAGAGGGTGCAGCTTCAGACCACTGCATCTTCTGTCAGCTCACCTGCAGGATTCATGCAGCAGATACACAAAAGCCAGAATCTCCCTTTCCAAAAGAAAGATCCCCCCCAGTATTGCAGCTCCGTCTCCCAACTGTCTTTGAAAGGAACAGGCTCTCCTACCTGTTGCCCAGCTTTCTGGAGAGGAAGCATTCCCCATGGTGTCTGCTCCTACCTCACTCACCAACTGCAACTTCTTTCTCTCCTTCCAGATGAAAAAAACAGGCTCACATTTTGTGGCAGGCTGTAGCCAAAGTTGCAAAACCAAGGGCCATCCTTGCTCCCACAAATCTACTGCCGCCTGCTACCAAGAGTGCTGCCAGGCTATGCCCAAAACCAGCTGCCTGAAGCTGGATGGGAAAGTGCACTTCAACAGGGCGAGCAGCCTGGCTTCGGCTTCTCTGTTCCAGCTCCTAACCTGGGCTGCTCTGCTCAGTCTCAGCTGCTCCATCTCCTTCTTGGTTGGGACCAACTGATCCGCTACTCGGTGCCTTCAGCCCTCAGATCTGCTGGGCAGGAGGGAATTCCCTGCCCACCCTCACCCACGTTGCTTCCCTTCTGTTCTCCTTGGCTCCCTTTTCCCAGGAAAGCAAGAGGCATTCAGGAAAACATTTTTTTTCTTTCTATACTGCTAGTGCTCAGGTTATTCTGTTTTCATCCCAAGTATCAGCTGAGTGTGTACAGCCAGGCTGTAGGGTCTCTGGCATGGGCCGACTCTGAATGGCCCATAGCCTTGGAGCTGGAATGAGGGATTCTCTTGGGTCTGCAGGACAAGCTATTGCTGCTATCGCTAGGAAGTGGTTTTCCCTGGGATGACTGTGCTGAGCCCCTCCAGGTTGTCCTTTTGACTCCCTTGCTGAGAAGACTTGGATTCAGGCCCAACAGCAGAAGGGACACTAAGCCAAGGGAAAGAAACCAGCAAACTCTAGTTTATGCCTCTGTTGGTTTCACTCACCTTCTCTCTTCAAAGCTTTGCTTCTGCTCCTTTCCTGATTCCTTATACCATTTATTTCCTTGTTCTTTTGCAGGACACCACCAACCTTCCCTCACAATTCAGCCTTTAGTCATAATATTCCACACCTGACCATTCTTGCTGCATCCATATTCTCACAAGACATTCCATAATTCATGCTTCTCTACTTTATCATATGTCTTCTCTAAATAAAGCAACATACAACATACAAATGTCACTCATACATTTTTCAATGACCTGCTGAACAGCAAACCTGTGATTTGCACACTCCCTGCCCTGCTTCTTAGGCACTTACAATCCAAACCATGTCACATTCTTTCCCAAGTTTGCTTAACAAGCTAATGTCCATATAGTTTTCAATTCCCTCTGGTTATACTTCTCTTTGTATGGGGAAGCGACAGTGGCATGCTGCAGACTCCCAGGCAGAGAAGCAGTCTTTACACGCATTACGCAGTTCCCACAGCTACTTCCCCAGGGATAAAAATCTACCAGTTACACCCAATATGCCTGTAGCTGTGCCATTTGTAAACCTTCTCACAGCATGTGTGGCTTGCTTTTTGTGGCTTGCTTTCTGTTTTGACCACTAACGTGTTTATCTCAATTCCATATTTTTGACATATCACTATTGTTGGACTACTCCTAAGAGCAATTTCCTCACTCCGCTTTCATCCGCAACCATTTCATCCCTTCCATGTTTAATTCCATTCACTCTGTTGGAGGCTCCTTCTTTGGCAGTCTTCACTCATGTCCCTAATAATGTTTTACTTCCCGCAAAAATTGCACTGCATTTTCTCTGCCCCTTTTAATCCTTACTGCCCTCTATTTTTTATGCTTGTTTATATAGCCTTCCCCACGTCTCATTTTCCCGCAGCTGTTGTTTGCATTTTTCCTTTTCGGAAGCCAATTTTATTCTGACGTTCCGCCGAGCAACCTTTTTATATTTCCAGGAGCCGCTGGGACTTTCTGCAAGATTATACTTTGCACTCTTCCCCGCCGAGGCCACCTCCCCTTTTCTTAGCTTCCCTTTCTAGGGGCTCAACGTGTTTCGTAGCGTTTTGGCAGGACGTCTCACTGATCTTCCTCCTCCCACCGAAGAAAGCGGCGTTTTCCCGGCAAGAGAGGTCCCCGCTGCCCCCCTCCCCGCCCTCCACTGCGTAATATGCCGGCCAGGTTGCTCCGCGGCCGCACCGCTAAGGCGGGGTAGCATAAGGGGAACAGGGTGGGGTGGGGACCGATGCTACCCCTCCTCTCTGGACAGGCTCTTCCCATTGCTCGGTGTTCAACCTGCGCTGCTTCCTTTACTAGCCTGTGCAAATAAAGTCTCCGACACCCTGCAGCGATTCGGGAGTGTGATTCGCCTGGGAATCGGGGGTGAAGAGGGGAGGGGCCCGCCGTGCAATTAGTTCGCCGATTCTGCAGGAGGCACAGGACGGCGCAAGGAAGGGAGCCGCCTTCCCGGAGCCTCCCCAAGAGAGAGCTGCCTCGAGAGAGCTCTTGGCCGGAGTGCCGCGCCTTCGGGGGTCGGATGGGAGCGCTCTCCTCCGAGCGAGGAGCCCCGGGCGCCGGCCAACCCTTCCTCCATCCGGCGCTCCAGGGCGCTGCCGCCGTTCCCGCCGAGCTCCGGCCACGCAGCCCTCGTGATCCCCTCCCGCTCTGTCCGCCCCCCGGCGCAAGAGCCGCCAGCCCCCGTTGCTTTCGGGGCCTCTCCTCCCCCGCAGGCCGTCGCCGTTGCTGTCCGGAAACGCCGCCGCAGCTCAGCCAGGCGCTCCGCGGTCTTCATGCGCCCGGCGGTCCGCCTGGACCAGTCGGGGGTCGTTCAGGAGGCGCTGGCTGGCGGGCAGACGTGCCTCGCCGTATCCTTGGCCGAGGGAGGCGCCAGCGGGCTGGAGTCGATGCTGCGCTGCCCGGTGGGACCAGGCAGGGCGCGGCGGCTGCGGGCGGAGCCCGAGCGGCTGATGTGGCGGGTGGGCGAGCTGCTCCTGCGGCTGTTCCGAATTTTCCCTTGACTGTCCGCCGCAGGCCGTGCAAGGGAGCCTGGTGGTGGAGCAGGCGGGAGATGCCTGTGAGTGCCCGCCGCCGCCGCCTGACCTCCTGGCGAAGGCCGGGGGAAGGGCAGCCCAGCCAAGCCGCGGCTCTTCCCGGCACCAGCCAGCCGGAGACGCTCGGGAGGGGCCGTGGAATTGACCAGCCACGCTTGGCCTGGCGTGAGGCGGCTGTTTAGGAAGGCAGCCCGGCTCACCGGAGGAGCCTTTGCTCGCTTGCCCGGCCGGCGCTTCGGATCTCTGTTAGTTGCGCGCCCAGCGATGGTCCCAACCTGGGAGGGAGGGAAGCGATTGCCGCAGGCTGCTCCCCCCCCGGCCATTTGAGCCTTAGCTTGGTGGGGCTGAGGGGGTGGGCTATGACTCTGCCCAGGCGAGTAGAGGCAGCCGCTGCCCAGCTGGAGCCGGGCCTGCCTTGGGGCCGAGGGGACCAGCGGGTAGGACGGAGAGGGGCTCTCCTTGCTGTGCCCGCAGGATCTGCCTGTACAGCCACTGCCGCATGGCCATTGCTGCCGAGGACCTGTGTCTGAAGCGGGTGCTGCGCCTGGAGCTTTGCGCTGGAAGAAGGTAGGGCGCTGGGATGCCTGCTGCTCCCCTCTCTGCTGGGTTTTGCCCGTTTGGTCTCCAGGCCTGAAGAGGAGACCAACACGAACCCATCCTCTCCAGAACTGGGTCCACAGAACAGCCTCAGCCCGGTTCTGGCCTTGCAGATGCCATTAAGCCATCAACTAACCAGAGCAGCATGCCAAGCCTGTTCAAACCAAAGCAAGGGTGGAAGAGACCAAAGTTAGCAGATGAGGAAAAAGCTGCTGCTACAATTTTCACTGGCTCAGTTTGGCACACCATTCATATCTAGATAACTGGCTCTGCACAGACCAAGGGCAACACCAGCATTTCCACACAGGTATGACTTTTTTTTTTTTTTTTGAAAACAATTTTATTGATTTTCTACAAACAAACAAGACAAACAAAACATTAAAACATCAACTCTCTTATGTACGTACAGTGTGTCGGTTGGTTCATCAGTTTTGTGCATTCATTTCGTAGTCTCAATTACAGTTATATTACATAACAACTCATATTGTCAATCCAAACTTATATATCCTAATATCGCTATTAATAAATCATTTGACTATACTTTTAATTGTTCATGCTTTATGAGATAACAATACTTTAAACAGTTTATTCTATAACAAATCATATAATCATACCAAATCTATCCTAAAAACACTTTATAGATATAGTGTCAAATAACATAGGCAAAAGAAAAAATAAAGGTATTCCTTGCTATCTAACTTTCTAAATATTCTATTATCGTATTTTGTCATCTAGCCACTGATAAAAAAGATCCCAAATTTCATAAAATTGTTTATCCTCTTGCTCTCTAATTTCAAATGTCAATCTACTCATCTCAGCACATTCCAATATTTTCTTAATAATTTCTTCCTGTGATGGTATTTTCTCATTCTTCCAGTTTTTAGCAAATACAATCCTAGCCGCTGTTAACACATTTACAATCAGATATTTCAAATCTTTACTATATGTATCTGGTAAGATTCCCAATAAAAAGAACTCCGGTTTCAAATCTATATGTTTCTTTTTTTCCAACCACATGCAAATTTTAGTCCAATATTTTTTAGCGTCCTCACAAGTCCACCACATATGGTAATATGAGCCAGGTATCTGATGACATTTCCAGCATTTTTCAGATTTGTTCTTGAACATTCTTGCTATTCTTGTCGGGGGAAAGTGCCACCTGTAAAACATCTTATACAAATTTTCCTTATATGCTGTTGACATTGTCATTTTATAATTTTGAGATCACAATTTTTGCCATTTCTCTAAATCAATCCCATATCCAAAATTCTTCCCCCAAACAATCATAGTTTCTTTAACTTGTTCTTCTAATTTAATTCCCAGTAAATAACCATATAATTTTTTAATCACCTTCTCATCAGTACCCATCAAGATCTTATCTAGATCAGTCTGTTTATCATAGAATCCCTCTGTTTTAGAATCTTCATCATACCTTGAATGTATTTGCGCATATGAAAACCAATTCATCTTTATACCTTGTTCCTCTAAATTTTGTATTGATTTAAGTTCACCCTTTTCATCCAATAGTTCCCCATATCTAACTGTTTGTTCCTTCTTATAAATTATAGGATAGGAAAATGCTTCAATAGTCGATAACCAAACTGGAATTTTCAAATAACATTGTATTTTTATCTTCTCCCAGTTTAACCACAAAGACTCCCGTATATAATGTCTTCTAAAATAACCCTGTGTTTTAGTTCCCTTATACCATAAAAAAGCATGCCAACCCAACAGCAAATCATGACCTTCTTTTTTTTTTTTTATATAAAAGTTTTATTGATTTTAACAACAAATAAAAACACATAAAACATAAAACATAACATAAGAACATCGTCATTCTTCATAAATTTACAGACAGTGTATCGGTTGGTTTATCACTCCTTTTTGTGCATCTATTTCATAGTCATAATAATTATGTTACATAATAACTCATATTATCAATCAACAATTATATATCCTAATATCCTTATTAAACAATCATTTGACTATAATTTAACTAATTCATGCTTAAGCGAGATAACTATAATTTAGTTAATTTATAACAAATCGTAAAATCATACCAAATCTATCTTAATATAATATTCTAAAAATATTATCAAAACCAAAATATATATATATTCTATTATTATATTGTTTTATCTAACCATTGATAAAAAAGATCCCAAACTTCATAGAATTGTTTATCTTCTTGTTCTCTAATTTCAAATGTCAATCTACTCATTTCAGCACATTCCAGTATTTTCTTAATAATTTCTTCCTCTAATGGTATTTTCTCACTCTTCCAATTTCTAGCAAATACAATCCTAGCCGCTGTTAACACATTTACAATCAAATACTTTAAGTTTTTATTAAATGTATCAGGTAAGATTCCCAATAGAAAAATCTCTGGTTTCAAATCTATATGTTTTTTTGTCATTTCTTCCAACCATATGCGAATTCTAGTCCAGTATTTCCTGGCCTCCTCACAAGTCCACCACATATGGTAATATGAGCCAGGGATCTGATGACATTTCCAACACTTTTCGGATTTATTCTTGAACATTCTTGCTATTCTTGTCGGGGGAAAATGCCACCTGTAAAACATCTTATACAAATTTTCTTTATATGCTACTGACATTGTCATTTTATAATTTTGAGACCACAATTTTTGCCATTTTTCTAAATCAATCCCATATCCAAAGTTCTTCCCCCAAACAATCATTGTTTCTTTGACTTGTTCTTCCTCTAATTTAATTTCCAACAAATAACTATATAATTTTTTAATCACTTTTTCATCAGCACCTGTCAAAATCCCATCTAAATCAGTCAATTTATCATAAAATCCTTCTGTTTTAGAATCTTTAAGATACCTTGAGTGTATTTGCGCATATGAAAACCAATTCATCTTTATATCTTGTTCTTCTAGCTTTTGCATCGTTTTAAGTTCACCCTTTTCATCCAGTATTTCCCCATATCTAACTGTTTGTTCCTTCTTATAAATTATGGGATAGGAAAAAGCTTCAATAGTTGATAACCAAACTGGAATTTTCAAATAACATTGTTTCTTAATTTTCTCCCAATTCAACCATAACGATTCCCGTATATAGTGCCTTCTGAAATAACCCTGCGATTTAGTTCCCTTATACCATAAAAAAGCATGCCAACCCAATAATAAATCATGTCCTTCCAATGCCAGTAATCTAGACTTTCTTAACGTTATCCATTCTTTAACCCACATTAAATTTGCAGCTTGATAATACAACTCCCAATTAGGAAGGCCAAATCCTCCTCTAATTCTAGCATCCTGTAAAAGTTTTAGTTTTATTCTCGCTTTCTTACCTTGCCATATATACTTCAACACCATTTTATTTAATTCATCAAAATAGTCTTTACCAAGCCTAATTGGTATTGTTTGAAACAAATATAAAATTCTGGGTAAAATATTCATTTTAATTGTTGAGATTCTACCTATCAAAGATAATTGTAGATTTTCCCATTTTTTCAAGTCAGATGCTATCTGCTGTTTAAGTTTAATATAATTATTCTCTTTCAGTGTAGTACATCTTGACGTCAAAATTATCCCCAAGTATTTAACTTTATTCGTAACTTGAATTTTCAATAAGTCTGCCAACTCTTCTCTTTGCCTTAATAACATATTTTTTGTCAGAATCTTTGTTTTGTCTTTATTTATTTTCAAGCCAGCCATCTCACCATACGTCTCTATCTTTTCCAGTAGTTTTAAAGCTGTCTCTAGAGGGTCTTCCAGAATAAAGACCAAATCGTCCGCAAAGGCTTGCAATTTAAATTCCTCCTTTTTAACTTTCATTCCTTTTATATTTGTATCCTCTCTAATATTTCTATTTAATACTTCCAAAGTCAATACAAATAACAAAGGGGATAGTGGACATCCTTGTCTTGTGCCTTTTTTAATATTGATAGTGTCTGTAAATTCTCCATCTATCATCACTTTTGCTGTTTGCTTATGATATATAGCTTCTATTGCTTGAATAAATTTTCTAGCAAAACCCATCTGTTCCAATAATAATAACATAAATCTCCAATTCACGTTATCAAATGCCTTTTGAGCATCTAAAAATATCAAAGCCATTTGCTTTTCAGGGTGTGCCTCATAATATTCCAAAGTGTCCAAAATTACTCTCATGTTGTCTTTAATTTGTCTCTTTGGTAGAAATCCATTCTGATCAGAATGAATAAAATTATTTAAGTATTTTTTAAGCCTTTCTGCCAAAATTGAAGCAAATATTTTATAATCTGCATTCAATAAAGAAATAGGTCTATAATTCTTAATTTGTAATGGGTCAGTCCCTTCTTTTGGAATAAGCGTAATATAAGCTTCTGACCATGTTTTAGGTATCTTCTTATTTATCATAACTTCATTCATAATTTCTAACAATGAAATACTCAATGATTCTTGTAATGTTTTATAAAATTCTGCCGGGAAACCATCTGGTCCTGGTGCTTTCCCGTTATTCTGTCTATTAAGTGCTTCAGTTAATTCCATCATTGTTATAGGATTTTCCAACATTTTCCCAGTTTCATCAGATATCTTGGGTAGGTTGGCATTTTGTAAATACTGTTTAATTTTCCCCTCATCAAAATCCTCCTGCTTATATAATTGTGCATAAAAATCTCGAATAATTCTCTTTTTCTCCTTATTACCATGACAGACTAGACCCTGTTCATCCATTAACTGTAGTATTCTCCTTGATTCTTTCTCTTTTCTCAGTTTGTATGCTAACCATCTACCTGGCCTGTTTGCATCCTCAAAATAGTTCTATTTAGCACTTCTAATTTTTTGCGCCAATTCTTCTTTCTCTGTTTGATCCATTTTATGTTTAATTATGTCCATTTTAAATTTAATATCTTTTTTCTGTGGCATTCTCTGTAATTCTTTTTCCAATTTTTTATAATCATCTTCTAAAGTTTTAATCATTTGCCTCTTTCTAATATTTTTTTTCTTTGTGTATTCCATTATCAATCCTCTTGCATATGCCTTCATTGTGTCCCAAACATTCTGTATTGAAGTATCTTCT